ATGCTCCGTTCTGGCTTTTTTTGGGTTGCACAGATCCCGTTTACTCACATGTGTTAGTGCAGTGTGTGTAGATCTTCAATTACGTTCTACACGCTTGCTGTGTAAATAAATCTATGTTAACCAGTGATTTCTGAAACACTGAAACTCTGCTCTAGTTGTTTCTGCGCTCCCTCCCTCTCTCTGGAGACCAGCAGTCTGTATCAGAGCTCCTCTGATTAAAAGCCAAAGCAAAGGTCAGACTCTGTTGGTAACGGAGATATCGCCCTACTTCAGCTTCACTGTTATGCCCAGCGGTCTGATAGGAGCCTCATATTACATTACGTGCAATGAAAGCCTAACCTCCAGGCTATACATCAATATTACATTACTTATCAACTCAGTGCTTTTTGGATTTGCAAGAGGGATTCTCGTGTTCATGAATCTGCCCCAGGACATTAGGAAAACATACTGGAATGTTTTTTCTCTTTATAAACTTAAATCAATTGATTTAAATCCCACTCCCTTAAAGTCCCCCTCTATCTTCAAATCTTTCCATCACTTTTCACTTTCCAACACAGAAGGTCTTGACCTCTTGCTTTGCTGTACACACACTCAAACACACACAGACACACACTGAGAAAATAAAGAAACAGCATGTCAGCAAACGGCAGTGTATTTCACCACAGAGCACAGGGCCAAGGCACTGGGAAACAACAACAAAAAAACACAAAAGCAGAAGACCTCCCTCTTCTCTTCCTGCTCGCCTTTTAAAAGTTTGCCGTCTGTTTATTTGTTCCATTTTCCCAGACGTTTTCCTTTCTGGTTGTTTTCTCTAGGACACATCCAGTGCAATGACGACGCTTACAAAAAAAGAACTTGTGTGAGGGGAAAGGTTAGTTAACGACAAATGTTACAGCAACGTTACAGTTACAGTGATACTGTTAGACAGAGTGGTTTGTATTGAAAGGTGACCACGATACACAGTGCCAAATACTTACAGTATTCTATGTACAAAATGTATGAACATGCATCAAAAAGGGCCTTAAGTCACTATGCAAACACACACATATACACAGTTTAATACAGTATTATAATAAGGCTTGTGGAAGTGCTCATGATTCCCGTCATTCCCCTTGAAGCTGTTTGGACTTTATATCCGAGGTGGGGGGGGGGGGGCGGCCCAGCTGTGTCCTGCCGCTGCGTACCAAACCAGGCCAATGTTGGGAGTCAGATCAACATTCCCATTTCATAGATTCTCCACTTTAAAACATGTTTTGATTCTAATAAGTTTGTGGTTTTCTGGCAGGTAACCATTTAAAGCACATTACAGGACATCTGAGACCAAGTCTGGTCAACAGTTTTACCACCATCATAAATCAGTGCGCTGGGTATATTAAACTGCAAATAACCATCGTAACAGTACTTTTCTTTATGCTACATTGCCTGTCACTGGTATACACAAGGCAGCAATTAGTGATTATTAACCCCATTGTTTTTTAGTTAGTTTTGTTTGCCTGGTAAACCACAGGATAACTGAAAAACTACAGTTCATGAAGCTTGGAGGATGAATGAAGAATGGGCCAAAGACGACCCATTACATTCTGTAAGGACACACACATTATTTCTCACAAATAGAAATGGCCTTGGAGGGCGTCTGCCCGCTCTGAGTGACCTTGTAGTTTTCATTAGTGATTCATCTAGTGGTTTTAGTGGATTTTTAAAAAATGATTTATAATTTGGTCTTTAAATCTGCATTGTTGGCCACCTTGGGGCATAGCAACAAGCTGTAAACACAACATTTAACACTCACTCAGTGGCCAGGTTATTAGTTACCTGCTTTTATACTGGAGTAATGTCATTTGCGCCTACAACAGCCTTAATTAAACTAGGTTTCATGTGGAAATGTTTAAGGTTTGACGTGTGAAAGCGTTAAGAGATGCTGCTCCTTATCAGTTTGAACCAGTCTGTCTATTCTCATCTTACCTCTCTCATTTAAGCCTTGTTTATACTATGAACACACTAAAAGGCGTGAATGCTCAGCGTGTTGTCCAAAACCCGACAGAATGTACAAACAGAATATTATTTAAGTTCACCGGCTAAATGCTCATTGTGTCTGCTGTTTGGTGACGGACTGGTCGTTTAAACTGGGTGAATCAGAGGGTTTTTTCGCTGAAAACAGCTGCCTATTTATTTGGTCTGGTTTGTTTCACTCGTTTCGTGCCAGTTCTTTAGATAGACTTCCTTCCCAGACAGAGCTACAGAAGTCCAAAATGGCCGCAGCATGGGAATAAGGTCAGTTACAGTTCACCCTCTGCTGTTCCCGTCACGTTCTCAGGACAAAGGAACGAGCAGTGTAACCGTACACCAACACTGTCTTGTAAATGGCATACTTATTTTACACCTCAAGTTAAATCTAGGCTATTATGGTATATCTAACGCGATGTTGGTGAGAAACAGAAGAAAGTTGGGATAGAGATGAACCATAATTCATGATATGGAGCTGTGTGTGTGTGAGAAGAGTCTCTAATTTAAACATCTACTGCTGTTTCTGCTGCAGAGG